CTCTCCTGGACCCACCTGTGGCTCTGCTATTTCATATTATGTTCGGATACAAGTAAAAGTATTATTGTCATACCACATGTTTTTTCTAAATATTTTCAATGTGAACAGAGATGACTGGTGGCGATGGTCGCAGAACAATGTGAACGTATTTCATGCCACTGTACTGTATCCTTAGCATTCATTAAGACAGTAAATGTAATGTTATGTATATTTCTCCATAATAAAAGAGAGACACAGAGAGAAAGACAGGGAGAAAGAGAACAGGGAGGTAGATACGGGAAATGAGAGCGAGAGAGAAGAGAAAATGAAAGAGAAAAAGAGAGAAAGACAGAAGGAAAGAGAGAGACAGTCAGAGAGAGTGACAGAAACAACCAAGAGAAAGATACAGTGGGAGAGATAGAGAGAGACACACACACAGAGAAGAAGGCACAGAGAAGAGACACAGAGCGAGAACAAGCCAGCTTCTTGGAATGAGAGAGACCAGAGCTGGGTGCCTTAGACGTGAACAGAGATGACTGGTGGCGATGGTCGCAGAACAATGTGAATGTATTTCATGCCACTGTACTGTATCCTTAGCATTCATTAAGACAGTAAATGTAATGTTATGTATATTTCTCCATAATAAAAGAGAGACACAGAGAGAAAGACAGGGAGAAAGAGAACAGGGAGGTAGATACGGGAAATGAGAGAGAGACGGCCTTAGACCATCAGGCAGGGCTGCTGCGGGGTCTGGACCAAATGTGGCTGGCGAGCTGCAGTTTGCCGACCACGGCCTTAGACCATCAGGCAGGACTGCTGCGGGGTCTGGACCAGGGTCTGGTGTTCAGTGAGCACAAACGATGGTGAATATGAGGCTGGAGCCTCATCACCGCACAGAACAAAAAGCAGAAGCCACTCGCTCCAGTCCACAAGGCCACTGGGACCAACGACGAGTCCCATAACCCCGGCTCTGTCCTCACATCCAGCAGGCACACACTGGACACTGGGATTCTGAAATGCCTGCTCCCAGGAGATACACAAGGTACACAAAGCTCAGCCCTGGGGAGGAGCCATGTCTCCAGATACCCCGTTTCCTCTCCCCACCAGGACCCAGGGGCCGATGACAGAAGCCGAGGGCGGAGAGGACTAAAGGGATGAGTAAGTAGCCGATTTGGAAAGCCAAGAAGAAAGGGAGACTCTTCTGTTTCCGAACGACATGAGAAAAGGACAAAAGAAACACCATGTCCTCACCGAGGCAGCAGAAATCCGGTGGTTCTTGCCAGGCGTCGCATTTTTCCGGTTGGCACAGCGAGAGACATAGGTGCGGGGGGGCACCTGGGGGGGCATGGTCTTACTCCGGGCCACGGGTTTTCCAGGGGTGTCCTTGCCGAAGTCCAAGGGTCCCCGGCCCTCCTTCCAGCCCCTGGTGGCATCCCGCACCATCTCTGCATCATAGGTTGACTTCAAGTTGAGCCGTGTGATCGCATCATTGATACCATCGTAGTCCACAGGCCCCAGTCGGCGCCCTGTCCCCCCACTTCTTGGCTCCGCGTCTTCTAAGATCTGATGCCCTAGCAACTTGCCTGAAGGCTGTTCGACCAAAGAAAAAGTGTTGATGTCATTGGGCTGGGAGATCTTGGAGGAAGACGGGGCCCTCTTCCTGGGAGGTAGGGGAGGGGTGTCCCAGATAGAGACTCGAGGAGGCAGAGGAGGCGGGGACAGCTTCTTAGAAGAGCCATCTGTGTCCCCCGGTCTTGGGGACAAAGAGAGTCCCCCATCTGAACCATCAAATATGTAAAGATAGTCTCCAGCCAGGGAGCCTTTGGGCCAGGGATCTGGGCCAGGCTGGGAGCCCTGGGAGGTAGAGTGGTTGGGCAGCCCTTCCTGTGGGGAGAGTGAGTTGTAATTGAGGGTAGGATCCGAGCCAGAGAGACCGCGTAAGAGCTTGAGGTCCTTCTGTCTGCCTGCTGGCTTGTTGTAGAAGTCCAGCGTGGGTTCCTCCCAGTCGATGAGAGAGGGGTCTGTGTTCTGCTTGGTTCTGTTTTCCTCCTTGTCATGCCGGAGCCGGGACAGGGCATCATACTCCATCTGCAGGGCTTCGGCCATGGCCAGCTCTTTGCGGCTGATGCCCACGGACTCCAGGGACTCCCAGTGTTCCCCATTGCCCGGAGTCGACGACATGGTGAGGATGGGGATGGAGGAGACAAAGAAGGCTTCTACTTCCTGCCAAGGTCAGGCCTGCAGGGTTGCAGCATGGTGTCTGGGCACCTGCAGGTGAGGGGTAAACATATCAATCGTGCAGTCACAAAAAGAGATGCATTCATAATCTGACTTAGGTGATATCTACCTCTTTCTTAATTGCCCACAACAGAAAGATGGAGGGGAAAACAGATACCAAGACAACTTTATCTCTTACAGCCATTCACCCTTCCATTCATCTATACATGCCTCCACCTCCGGCCCCTAACTCCCATCCTCATCTCTCTCACACGTACCCAGAGGAGAGAAGGAGGCATCAACCAGCTGGAGAAGACAGAAATAAGGGCTCCTCAATCAGTTCAGAGGGGACAGCTCTCAGATGCTGCTGCTGGGAAGGTGAAATGTTTAACCACTTGAGAACACAGGCAACTTCCTGAAAAGATAACCCCATCCACCTACCACATGACTCAGATATCAAAGTTACTTACGCAAGTAAATGAAAGCACACGTGCACACGAAGATTTATATGTGAATACTCATAGCGGCTTTATGTGTAATATCTAAAAACCAGAAACAACCCAAATGTCCACCGACAGCTGAATGGATTAAAAAACTGTGATGTGTCCACAGAATTGACATTACTCAGCAATAAGAAGGAAAGAATTATTGACACATGCAATATCACGGACAAGTCTCATAATAACCACACTGAGCACAACAAGCCAGACAACAGAGTATGAGTATTTGGATCCCACTTAGATAAAATTCTGAAAATGAAGTTAATGTACAGTGACAGAGAGCAGATCGGTGATTCCCTGGGAAGGGGTGGGAAGCAGCAGAGGGAACTTTGGGGGATGGTGACTAGGCTCACTATCTAGACTGTGTAATGGTTTCACATTATGTCAAGACTTTTCAAATTGTATGTTTCAAGTATATACAGTTTATTGTACGTCAATTATACCTCAATAAAGCTATAAATGAAAAGTACAGTCTGGCCGGCGTGGCTCGGTGGTTGAGCGTCAACCTAGGAAACAAGGAGGTCACGGTTCGATTCCCGGTCAGGACACATGCCCAGGTTGCAGGCTCAGTCCCCAGTGGGGGGCGTGCAGGAAGCAGCCAGTCAATGATTTTCTCTCAGCATTGATGTTTTTATCTCTCTCTCTCCCTCTCCTTTCCCCTCCGAAATCAATAAAAATTTATATATTTTTTTAAAAGTACAATAGAGCGTTATGAAACACATCTATGATTACTCAGATTGCACGAGGATTCTCCCCAAATACACCAATATGAGCACCGAAACGAAGCTTTCCAGAGGGTGAGGCCCAGGGGCCTGATGGGATACAGTTGTGCCAAAATACTGACCCCTCCTAGGCCCTCAGGAAACCAGGCAGAGGGGGAGGACCCCCGGCCCGCTGCCTCCAGCTGCAAGCAGCCCCCACAGCCACCCCAGGGTTGGCATCCTTTGCCCCAGAAGCCATGACATGGAGAAGACACTGAGCAAATGGTTGCAATGAAAGGTTAGCCGGGCTCAGCGGTCCTCAACCCCGGCTGCACATTAGAGACGCTGGGGGAGCTTTCTAAAAGTACGGCCCCGACACCCATGTTCTCCTGAGACAGTCTCATGTAACTGGCCTGCAGTAGAGAGGTGGTGTGTGTTTTTTAAAAATATGTATATATTTATTGATTTCAGAGAGGAAGGGAGAGGGAGAGAGAGATAGAAACATCAACGATAAGAAAGAATCATCGATCGGCTGCCTCCTGCACACCCCACACTGGGGACTGAGCCTGCAACCCAGGCATGTGCCCTGACTGGGAATCGAACCGTGACCTCCTTGGTTCATAGGTTGACGTTTAACCACTGAGCAACGCCGGCCGGCCAGCCAGGCAGTGGTGTATTTAAAAATTCCCCAGGCAATTCTAGTCTATAGTTGAAGGTGAGAATCACGGGTCCATGTGTGCACAGAAAATCCTCAACGTTATTTATAGGTTCTTGGGAACTGCACCTTTCAACGAAACAACATATAATGAAACCAATGTCACCACAGGCTAATTGATATAAAAAAGAGTTAAGTTCCTAGGGCACATTTCTGGTCACAGAAACATCACCAAACTTCAAAATAAAGACCCAAAACACTTCTAATATTAAACATTGAAGTAAATGTAAGCTATCCATACATTTAAGAAAGATAAATGAAAACAGTGAGCTAAGTATTTTCCAACTCACTTATTCCAGTTCAGGGTCATGGGTGACTGGAGCCTCTCCCAGTAGTTCAGGGCGAAAGGCCACCCACACCCACACCCACACCCACACCCACTCAGAGTGGAACAGTGTAGACACCCCAGTTCATCTAACGGTCACATCTGTGGGATGTGGGAGGAAACTGGCGAACTCAAGAAACCCACGCAGCCACGGGGAGAGCACACAAACTCCACACAGACAGCGGCCCCGGCCGGGAATCAGTTTTATTTTTTCATCAATGTCATAACAAAACACTGTTATTCAAGAACCTGCTGTATGTGTGTTAGGGATGAGCTTGTGGGAAGTAAGTGTGAAGTAGCTACATCTGACCTTTAGCACCAGCAGCTAAGAAGTTCACAACTGCATACAATTATCAAAAATTGTACATTCTATTGTACTGCTTTATCCAGCAGATAATAAATACATGAAGCATGTTCTACCTCTGGATTGGAAAGTGGTAAACAACAACAGGAAAAAGGGTTCAGTTAGATTCTTGGGTGGCAAGATCCAAAAATGAGTTAGCAAACAAACAAACAAAAAGAAAGCAAAATGAGTTAGGACAAGGGTATCCCTTAACCCAAGGTTCCCCACTTCCCCCCAGGACCCTTTGTATCTGCCAGGCACAGGCACAGAACCCTGGAGGGCCAGGGCTGGCTCAGCAAATTTTAGGAAGTAGCTTCTCAAAGACGAATTAGTCCAAGCCCTGCCTCAGGCACACACAACGCCCTGCTCACTTCTCTGCCTGCTGAGTTTCTCCACCCTTCAACAGCTTCTTACAGATTATCCTTTTATCAATTTGTTTTCATTGATTTTGAGAGAGAGGAGGAAGAGGAAGAAAGAGGTGAGAGAGAAACTGGCCGCTTCTCACGTGCACCCCAACCAATTGAGCCTGAAACCCGGGCATGTTCCCTGGGCCGAGAATCGAACCAGTGACCCTTCAGCATATGGGACGATGCCCAACCAAACGGAGCCACACCGGCCAGTGCCTTATGGATTACTTTTTCTCTAAAGCGGGTAAGAGGCAGTCTTTCTATTTGAAATTCAAAGGAATTAGGTGACCAGCTGCAGATACCCAGCACTTAGCTGCCCAGCGCTGGAAAACTAGTTCCAGGAAAAGGAGGTCTCGTGCTTTAGAGAGGAGACACCGGGTGAACATCAGAGTCAGACGGCCTTTACGCCTTCCAATCCTGACTGTGGGTTTGCAGCTCCAAACCGAGACAGCAGAATACTAAGAGTTGCCGGCCCTGGCTAGGTAGTTCAGTTGGTTAGAGCCGCATCCTGATATGCCAAGGTTGTGGGTTCGATCTCCAGTCAGGGCACAGACAAAAATCTACCAATGTGCCTGGCCGACGTGGCTCAGCGGTTGAGCACCAACCTATGAACCAGGAGATCATGGTTCGATTCCCGGTCAGGGCCTGATCCCCACTGTGGGATGTGCAGGAGGCAGCTGATCGATGTTTCTCTCTCTCTCTCAAAATCAAGGAATAAATTTTTTTTTAAAAAAAAAAGGGGGGGTGCCTTAGCCAGGCACCACTGTGAAGAAAACGGAGACCATCGGAAAGAATCTCCACATCCTTC